ATGACAGAAATCAAATCAATAACCCAAATTCTGATTAATGGACAATACTGTTATAAAATAAATTGTAGATTTAAATATTGCTTCCAATAAAAGTGCTAATAATTCTTTTGAATAACAGAAATTAAGAATGTTAATTTTCCAGACTTCTACAAGCTTGGATTTCTGTCCCCAGTGATCTTCTTCTACACATGGCCTTTAAGGTGAAACTTCAAAACCTGGCGAGTTCTAGCTGTTCCAGAGTTCTCCTGATATACACTCTTACATTCCAACCTCACCATTCCAGTCAGTCTTTCTTCTTTCATGCTCTGGAAAGGGTAGGCATTTTCTGAAGCAGAGGTTGCCTCACTGGAATAGTTAAAGATATATATATATATATTCAAACTAGGAAACCCTTTTTGATGAAGTACCAAGAAATTTAGACTTTTTCTTTTAAAAAAATCTGTTCCAACTTCACAAATTGAGTGACTTCATTTGATTTCTTTCTCTAAATGCTGACATTCACTTTAATGCCACTCAGCTGTGATTCTTTAAAGATTCTATACAGAGGAGACCACAGACAAATAGACATTAATCTGGAAATAAATGTGAAATCAGATAAATGTGAACTTTACAATCATCTTTTGCCATTAGAGATAAGGTATTTGGGGAATATTGAGACTTAAACATGATTTTATGATTTTTATTATACTCAAGTTCATAAAATATGTTTATTTGGTTTAAGACAATTTCAACATTGTGTAATTTCTTTTTTTCAATCACTTAAGCAAGGTTGAAAAATAAAGATGGTTTTCCATAACTTCTAGTTATAAGGAACTCAAAAAATGTCTTGAGTATCTTGCATTCTTAGTCAAAGACTGACTGACAAATTCTCTTTTGAAGTTAATGAATGTCATATCTTATCCACAGTATTCTAAACTAAGATTGGTATCAAAAGAGAAATCATTTTTAGCTCATAATAGTTATTCAATAAAAAATAAGTCAGATATTAATTTTACAATGATTCATCTCTATTGCCACTCTTCTATTCTGTATCCCACTGGTTATTGAAGTTGTCTCTTAACAAGGGTTTCAACCATATGCCCAGCATCCCCCTCCTTCCTCCTACCCAGAAGCCTAAGCTTCAGAATACCTGCTTCAAAGTAACTGCTCTAAAAGAGTGTTTCTCAAATGTTAGGGTGCATCAGAGTCACCTGGAGGAGTTTGAAAAACAGATTATTGAGCTCCTTTCCCAGTGTTTCTGATTTAGTAAATTTAAGTGGAAATAGTATTTTCATTTTTAACAACTTTCCAGGGCATACTAATTGGGCTGAGTCCTGAAACATACATTCAGAATTACTAGTCTAAACCATAAAACTGGTCATGTCATCATCCTGCAAAAAATCTTTTTGTGTCTCCTCATGCTACTACTGAGCTAACCTTGAAATCCTGGCAAGGTTAACTAACAATGAAGTAGAAATTTATATACTTGTGAAATCACATATTTTTGCTTAAGTGTCTTGGTGTAACACAGTGTAACATGGTGTTCCTGTTTCCAGTCACCACCAGATATGCAGACTCACCCAGATGACACACAGGAGAGCAAAATTTGTATCAGAGACAGGACCAGCCAAGTCAAACTGCACGTCTGCAGAAAAATCCCCTGCTGCTTCCCTCAACTCAACTTCCACTTCCCTTTAACCATGCATAATTAGCTGGGTTGGCAAGACCTATTAAGATGGGCTTTGGGATAGGAATCCCCTCTTCTCAAGTCACTGACACTTGAATAAACCACTTTCCTTCTCACCAGCACCTTGGTTCACAAGTTTGGCTCTTGTTGCAGCAGGCAGCCAAACTTGGGTTCAGGTTCAGCATTCACTCATCCCTCATAATTTAAGTTCCTTAACATGGCTCACATAACCCATCATCACCTGGGTATTCACTCACTCTTGCTTTATCTCACACTATCCTCTGCCTTAAGTGGTGTGTTGATAAAGATTTAAAATATGGCTATTCATGGTGCCCTGCCAACACAGAGACATGTAAGTGTGTGTGTGTGTGTGTGTGTGTGTGTACATGTGCATATAAACAAACATAGGCTTATTTTGCTGATATAAGCAATGTGTAAATAATTTACCAAAAAAATGTATAATAATCTTTATTGTAAATTCCATGTAACCAATTAGTTCTTATAGGATGTTTTTATTGCATTTTCACTGGACTATTTTTATCTGTAATCACATACAGTCTTTGTCATATTCCTTTTTATTTCTTAATTTCTTGACAGCACTTTACAATTTTGTTTTGTTTGTTTGTTTTTTAACACACAGTCTGGGGATAACAGGCTTTAAGCCAGACTTGGAATACAGGCTGTAGCTTGTCTACACGATCTATACTATTTGTCAATATCCCAGGTGAAAATATTCCCACCATGGTGGATTTCAAGCTGTCAAAGGAATGTTACTGGACATGGAATTGGGAAGAGACGCACTGTAACAGCCCAATAAAGTGCATATCCACCACACAGTTACTGCAGAAGTAAGAAACCTGAGCACATATAAATAAACTAGAGACCCAGTGCACGAAATTTGGGCACTGGGGGGTTCCCTCAGCCTGGCCTGTGACCTCTCCCAGTCAGGAGCCCTTGGGGGATGTCCAACTCTTAGCTTAGGCCTGCTCCTTGTGGGGAGCGGGCCTAACCTGGCATTTGGACATCCTTAGCACTGCTGCGGAGGTGAGAGAGGCTCCCGCCACTGCCACTGAGCTCGCCAGCCATGCACTTGGCTTCTGACTGAGCAGCACTCTCCCTGTGGGAGTGCACTGACCACCAGGGGGCAGCTCCTGCGTTGAGCATCTGCACCCTGGTGGTCAGTGCGCATCAGAGCGGCTGGTTGTTCTGCTGTTCAGTTGATTTGCATATTAGCCTGTTATTATTTAGGATGGAGTGGTGGCTATATAGATAGCTGTAATATTTTACCTAATAATAGACAAACATGCAAATTGACCATATTTTCGCTATGCCTTAAGCCACGCCCACCAGCCAATCAGAGCGACTATATGCAAATTAACCCAACCAAGATGGTGGTCAGCAGCCATGGAGCTGGAGCGAACAGGAGGCTTGCTTGCTCCAGTGATGGAGGAAGCCAGCCTGTTGCTGGCTCTGAGATCCACTCCAAAGCAACAAAGTTTCAATTATAGAAGGTAAATAAACCCCAGATACCTCCTTCCAGTCGCCATGGCCATGGAGCTGGAGCGAATAAAAAAAAAAAAAAAGGAAAGGCTGGGAGCTTCAGTAGCCAGGGGGCTTGGTCAGTCTGAAAATAGCCATCAGCCCTTCACCCAGGCTGGCCAGGAACCCCAGTGGGGACCCCCACCCTGAAGGGGGTTTGGGCAGCCTAAAAACAGCCCTCCCACCCAGGCTGGCCAGGCACCCCAGTGGGGACCTCCACCCTGAAGGGGGTTTGGGCAGCCTGCAAACAGCCATCAGCCCCTCACCCAGGCTGGCCAGGCACCCCAGCGGGACCCCCACCCTGATCCAGGACACCCTTCAGGGCAAACCAGTTGGCCCCCACCCATGCACCAGGCCTCTATCCTATATAATAAAAGGCTAATATGCAAATCAACTGAACAGCAGAACAACCAGTCGCTATGACACACATTGACCACCAGGGGGTAGACACTCAACGCAGGAGCTGCCCCCTGGTAGTCAGTGAGCTCCGGGAGCCTCTCCCACCTCCGGGGCAATCGGACATCCTCCAAGGGCTCCCAGACTGTGAGAGGGTGCAGGCTGGGCTGAGGGACCTCTCCCCCTCCACCAGCAAATGCACGAATTTTGTGCACTGGGCCTCTAGTAGTAAATAATTAAAAATTAATAAATGTATGACCTTTTAAATACTCTATTTAATTCTAAGTTTATATAACTTAGCTTACAACATTCATTAAAGTCTACCAGTTGGTCTACATGAGGCAGTAGCAGTTGGCTACAACACAACTGCCTGTCTATTGTTTAAAATCCCATCGACAATGGACTATGACGGTTATGCCCTGTGCTCTGCAGTGGGTCTCTGGCCTAGTCCACCTTTCTGACCTTGCTCATCAGGCCAACCCCATATTCATTTGAGGTTTAGCCGAGTCTCCTGCTGGAACCCTGTCTCTACCTCTCTAGTTTGAGCTAAGTGGCCTCTTCCCAGAATTGCCCACAGTGCCCAGTGCTACTCTCCACCATAGCTTTCACTTCTTTCCTCTGCACCACTTCTTTCAGGTCTGCTTCTGCTTCGTAGGCTATAAGCTTCTCCAGCTCAGGAACTCTGCCTCTGTAATCTTTAATTTTATTACTGAGAGCAAACCCTGGGATACAGTAGGGGCAAAGCACATAGTTTTTGAACTGAACTACTAGCAAAAAGGATTATCTTTTGACTTTCACTTTTCAGAATTTTGCACAGCCTTCTTTGTTTTGTAGCATTGGTGTGTCATTGTGCTTCTCCTATAAGGAAGAAACAACTGTTGATGTGTGTTAGTCAAAAGTTTGCTTACAAATTACAGTTAAAGACAAGTGCCTACAGTGCATATTTTAGATTACTTTGGGTATTATTTATCATTCCTATTTTATTGAGGTATAATTGACATGTAACATTATGTTAGTATAATTCTTATATCTTCCATTACCCCAGCTAATTGAATTTCATTTTTTTTAAAGAATGACTTAATTAACCAGGAGACTAAATAGTGATACAGGGTGCTAGAAGTAGGAAAAAAAAAGAAATCAAATACAAATGAGTCTTGCTGATTTAAAATTTCCACACAATTAGCTGATGCCTGTGGGTTACCAGCATTATTTCCTGGGCATTTTCCCCAGCTCACTGCTCAGAATCTCTCCAAGGACTCCTCCACTGCAGGCTGCCTGGGCTTTGATGGAGGGAAGATAAGCCCCAGCATGAGCTTTTCCTCTATTGCTCTTCTCTTTACTGATTTTCACACTGATCCTAAGCAAGGCACCTGGGGGTCTGTAGGGAGTATCAACTCACCTCATAGTCGATGTCTAAGGCATCGGCCTCTCCCTTGGTCCGGAAATGCTGCGTGTACTTGTCCACGGTGAAGTTCACGTGCTTGCCCACCCGCTCAATGAGGACCGAGTGCCAGTGCTGGTCATCCAGGAGGCTGCCCAGGGTGGCTGATGGCGGGCTGCTGCTGAGCCGGGTTTTGCTGTCATCTGTAAAGAGGAGAGGAAGAGAGGATGGTGTCTGTGCCTGAGGGCAGCCTGAGACACAGCCGTGAGCAAACTACGGCCCGCGGGCCAGATCCGGCCCGTTTGAAATGAATAAAACTAAAAAAAAAAAAAAAAAGACCGTACCCTTTTATGTAATGATGTTTACTTTGAATTTATATTAGTTCACACACACACTCCATCCATGCTTTTGTTCCGGCCCTCCGGTCCAGTTTAAGAACCCATTGTGGCTCTCGAGTCAAAAAGTTTGCCCACCCCTGGGAGTGTTCTGCAAGCAAGGCCAGCTCGCTCTAAAGGCAAAGATAGTTCTATCTCTACAGGCCCAGAACGCTGCTGGGCTTGGGAAGGAATTACAAGCTTTTCCCACAAGTGCCAGGAACAAATTATAGGTCAATTGACATGCTTATCTCTTTCTAGACATGAAATGACATGATTTCAGGACTTGAACAATTAAATAATAAAGGAACTCTATCCTAATGGAACTCTATGGAAAATAGTGGTTATCCTATTTAGAAATAGTATTTATTCTTCATCTTTGAATGGGTGTTGAATAGAGAAAGTGGACCTTGAATTGTGCTTCAGCAGAGAGTGAACTGGATAAGTTCGCAGTGAGTTAGGTAAGTCTGTGGGCAAAGCAAAAGGGGAGGAAATAGTCATTTTAGCTGCCACTTTAAGTGCCTACTATATGAGTGGCACTTAACCAGTTAACTGCCATGTGTCCAAAATGGAAACCATCCCCACACACCACGATATTTTGAATGTATTTGCATCTATAGACGCTTGTGGCTTACAAAGGGTTAAGTAGGAATTTTACCACCTCCATTTTTCATCTGCTAAGGCAAAAGTATTATCTGCATTTCACAAATAAGGAATCTAAAGTGAGCGTAAGCACACATGCCCCAGAGGTGTGTCCAGGGATGCAATTCAGGTCCAGTGGCCTTCCCACTCTACCGTGCCATGGGTCATATGTGTTGATTTAGCCCAAGTTGAGCTTGAAAGACACCCCTTGGGAGAATGTGCCAGACTTAGGGGAAGAGGCGTGTTTTTTCTTTCTTTTTTAAACAATGTTTTTTAATGGGACCAGAGATATGGTTCCAATTACATAGGGCGACACTAAAAAATCCATGGGTGGTTAGGAGTTGGAACATTACAAAATAACGAGGTCACACTGGGTGCAGAAGAAAAGCCGTCCCAGGACCTCAGGGGGCAGGCTTGCAGGGCCGCTCCCTGCATCCTGTCTGTGCTCACTCTGGAGCCCATTCGCCAGGGCCAAGGCCACCTCTGTACATTTCTAATCAAGTCAGCCTGGTTCTCCCTCCTCCCCTCCCTCCTTCAATTTTAGAGAAGTCCCTGCCTATACCCTATTGTCAAAAAGATTAGATTTTTCATCTACAAAATGGTTCAGATATAGCAAAATGAACACATAAATGCAACTCATTATTACTTATATACATACTTTCAGGGTTTTTTAAAATTATTTATATATTTGGTCCCCTTAGTGACTGAAAGCTGAACGCCTCCTTCCTCTCTCTTCAGTGTGTTTTACCAGAGCAGCTGTAACAGCCTGCTCAGTGTGGCATTCAGGACAGGAAGCGGCATTATCCTGGAGGTATTCACTCACCTCCATAAAGGCCTACGTCACCACTTCCTGTAGGGGTGAGACAGCAAACTTACTGTAATTGAAAATGAGAGCCAGTGAATTCATAGTTGATTTTATTTCATTGATTTATTTACTGTTTTTTTCACTGATTTTGAGTTCTCACAATTTGTCAAATCATGCTAATAAACTCATAGATATTTGTCTTATTTTTCTCACTCATTTCCTTCTTTCCTTCCTTCCTTCCTTCCTTCCTTCCTTCCTTCCTTCCTCCCTCCCATCCTTCCTTCCTTACTTCCTTCCTTCCTTCCTTCCTTCCTTCCTTCCTTCCTTCCTTCCTCCCTTTCTTCTTCCTCCTATAAAGAGGGATTGAGAAATACCCCATGTGACTCACAGTGACAAGTGATGTATAAAGGAGCCTGTAGGAGATACAGAGTTAATAGGCGAACTGCCCTCTGTGAAGGTCTCCTGTGGAGATTTTTAGTGAGTAAAGCCACACAGTTATGCCATTGGTACACAGCAGTCAGTGCAAAGAGCCAAGGTAACTCCTGGCCAGGGGCTGTGAAGGCCTCCTTATAGGGCAGTGACAGGCCTGAGATTTGTTAGGCAAAAACAGGGAACATGGCACACAGTCAGGAGAAGCAGGTGCCTCTGCTTGGAGGGATAGTTTGGGAACAGGGTAGAGTGATTCCATATGGCCCAGTGTCATCACCACAGGCCTGGTTTATATCATTCCGGACGACTGTGCTAGTGGGTGGGAGTTTACAGGTTGAATTGTACCTTTAAGGAATGGGAGCCATAGTTGAATTACTAATCATAGATACTAACTCTGATTAACATTTAGCAAAGGTCATTTTGGCTGCTCTATGCAATTTTATTACAGGGCAAACTGGCAGTGCTATTGGGAAAATGTAGATGGGGACAAGGGCTTAGGAATAGAGAGCACAAGAAGGATGGGGTGGTCTCACAAGTCACTTGGACATTGGAAATGGGGTAATAATGGAAAGACTCAGGTGCGTTCTAGGATTTTTGAGAAGGTGGATGAGAAGTTAGAACAGTCATGAAATAAGAAAGAATAAAGACAATCCCCCTATCTACACACACACACACACACACACACACACACACATACACACATACACATACACACATACACACACATGCATGCACACATACCCCTTTTACTTAAAATAAAACTTATCCAAGAGCTAATGATTGGTCAAGAGGAACAGTAAAACACATGATCATCTCAATAGACAAAGAAAAAACATTGTACAAAAATTCAATATTGATTCTTGATAACTATCAGCAAACTAGAAATAAAAGAACTTGCTGAACCTGATAAAGGTAATCAACAAAAACCTACAGCTTGCATCACACTTAATGTGAAAAAATGAATGTTTCCCTGCTAAGACTAGGGGCAAGTCAAAATGTCTGCTCTTACCATTTATCCCCAACCTTCCCTGCAGGTTCTAGCCAGTGCAATCAGACAAAAGAGAAAATACAAAAGAGACAATAAAGGAAAGAGCAGAACTGTAGAAAACCTTAGGGAATCTATCAAAAATGCTGGAATTATTCAGTGGGGATACAGTAGGGGACAGGTGTATGCAGATGCTGGAAGGAGAGGCATATTGACTGGTATGACAATTTCCTGGGTATGCACATATGTGAACATTAAACTGTGTAACATAAATGTTTGCATTTTTAAATGTCCATTAAAAAAAGAATTAAAATTTTGCAATAAATATAAGAAAATATTTAGAAAGAAGAGCCAAGAATTGGTTGAGGGAATTTGTCTTATATAACTGTTGGTTCTAAGTAATAAATCAAATATAGTTAATATTAGAGCTTTCACTTTGAATTAAATATGTAACTCACTTTTTTTCTTAAAAGGAAAACAGACATTTAATAAGAATTTCATAATAATAAGTCTAAAAAAAGACTTAAAACAACTCTAAATCACAAAAAGCCATAGAATGGCACAATAATCACATAATCTCAACCCACTTATTCTATGTGATGTTTGGTGGGTTTCAGTGATACACTGAATTCTTTAATAGGGCTGATAATAATGTTTAGTGTAAAATATTTGAACATATTTTACACTATGATTTATGCTTCAAAAGACAAATTTATTTATGAACATTAACAATATTTTTATTTAACTTTTTAGATATAGTAACAAATCTTCTTCCCATCCCTGCCTCCATCTGTGCATGTTATCCTGTAGGTCATCACTGATATGAATGTCTTATTCTTCATCAAGAAAAATTATAGGCAAAAAGCAAGTCAGCAAAGATATGTATTCTTTATTCCCCTCATTAAATATTTTACCATAATGATGAAATACAATGAGCGTTTTTCTGTACCTTTTCATTTTCATTTCATCTTTCCTGGTATTTTCTTATATCAGTACTCAAAGCCTGTTGCATGAAGATTTGCACAATAGGCCTTCCTTCCCCTGGCTGCTGGCACCGGTTTTCCTCCGGCACCTGGGACCCAGGCCTTTGGTCCGGCCGCAGCGGAGAAGCCAAGCCTCTTCAGTCTTCAGTCTGTCTTCAGTCTTCAGTCTTCAGTCTTCAGTCTTCACTCTGCGCCTGCCTATGCAGATTAACTGCTATCTTTGTTGTGTTAATTTGCATAGTCGCTCTGATTGGCTGGTGGGTGTAGCAGAGTGACACCAGCTTGCATGTTTCTCTTTTATTAGTGTGGATAATTGAAAAAAATAAAAAGTAAATAAAGAACTTTTTAAATTTTTACAGCTGTAGAGTATTCCATTAAATTCATATCAGCTTCTTACTGATAAATATTTGAGCTTTTTGTCTTACTTAAAATTGCTAAAACATCTTATACACACAGGTCATTTTTATGTGTGCAAGAATTTCTGTAGTATGCATTCTTAAATGAGGAACTGGTGGCCAAAGGTTTTTAGAGATGGTAATTTTGGTAAGCACTGCCAAATTGTCCTCTATAAAATTTCAACCTATTTAAACAAGTACTAGCAATTTATGAAACTGCCTTTTCTTCAAAGCCTTGTCAACAAAATCCATTCATGTTTTTGGAATTTGTCTGTATGATGCTTAAAAGAATTACATTTCTGAATAGTTTTAGTATACCCTTCTCTTAATGTGAATTAAATATAAAATATGTTTATTTTTATTTACCTTTTTAGGAACTATCTCCTCATACCACTTGCCTATTTTCTATCCTTTTTAAAATTAATTTATATTTAGTTTTTTGTCTATAATATAATAGTCTTGATTTTGTTTTTTTTCTGTTTTTTATTTGTTTGTTTGTTTTTACTACTCAGAAATGTTTGTGTTTTCTTTTTCTTTTTATAGATTCTGGATTTGTGTTATAGTTTTAAAGGTCCTCTCCATTCTGACAT